TTTTTTTTTTTTTATCTTTTATATAACATAATTAAAAGAAAAAGACTATACAGTTTTTAGCAAACTGCCTTATATTCTTTTATTTTTCATCACATTGAAAGCAACTAAAAACCATTGCCCCCATCATGCTTTTCAATCATCATATTATGAATAAGGAGAAAAATATCTTCATTAAAAAAAATATTGAGATTGAAAACTAATGTTTTATTAATTTTTTTTTTCTATTAATTATTCTAATGATTTAATACAATATAATAATATATAAATTATAATAGTGATTTTGATTAGTGTAAAAGTTAAAAAGTAGTCTATCTCTTTTAGTTGGCTACAATGACTCAATTTTAGTTAATATGGTTGAATTTGCTCAAACAGTGAAAACTTCATTGCAATGAAAAGAAAAAATTAGCACAAAACAAACCATCTGATTGGACATCATTTTATATAGTGATAAGAAAAAATATTTAGCAGAAGCAAAAATTCTATGGAGTCGATGATTTTCTGATAGGAGCCACCAATCACTTTAATGTATTGATAGTCGACACCTGTCCAAAGTGTATTTATTGGAGAACAAGTGTCAATACATTATTTGTGAATAACTATGGATGGTTCCATAAGTCGAGTCATCCGATAGCTCCATAGCAAAAATGACCAAATATTTTACTGAAATGCATGTCTCTATTTTAAAGTAAAAATTAGGAAACATTTATAGGCAGCCAAACCAATCAAGATTCAAGAATGGAAGATTTTTGGTACCAGAAAACAATATAAATCAATTTAATATAAACTCACTTTTTGTCCATGACTTTATTGTGCACAGATGATCCCAGCAGACTCTAAAATCCATGCCACTATATAAGCTGCAAGCTTTTGTGTTATCATCTTAACCTCTCCTCTTTCTTGCAAATCCTTCATAAAACCTTTGAAAACCTCAAAAAAATGAAACATCATCATTTTTCCCATCTCTCTTTTCCTCAAGTTCTAATGTAGAAAAAAACCATTTTTTTTCTCTATTTCTGTCAGCCTTTTTCCTTTAATGGAAACTCTTCACTTTTCCCATTTCATCCTTTTCTTCACAATACTCGGGTCCTCGTTCGACCCGAGCCTTGGGGAAGACGATAATAACTCCTCCTCCTCCGATTCCTTTTGGCTCTTAACCATAAAATCGAAACTCGCCGACCCGTTTGGAGTTCTCAACAACTGGTCACAAAACACCAGCATGTGCTCATGGTATGGAGTCACTTGCACAGATGATAAGCAGCACATTTTATCTCTCAATCTTTCAAATTCTGGCCTAACTGGAACATTCCCCCCCGAAATATCGAAACTCGCATCTCTCGAAAATCTCGATTTGTCTCAAAATTACCTCACCGGACTAATCCCTCCCACGATCGGTAAACTTCGAAATCTGAAAGCTCTTCTGCTTTTCACGAACTCCTTTTCCGGCACAATCCCACCCGAGATTGGCCTTCTGAAAAACCTGCAAATACTCAGATTAGGCGATAATATGCTGACCGGAGAGATTTCGCCGGCAATCGGGAGCTTAACCGAGCTAAGAGACTTGGGCTTAGCTTATTGCCAGTTTTATGGCAGTATTCCAAAAGAGATTGGATACTTGAAGAATCTCCAATATATGGACCTGCAGAAAAATAATATCGTTGGGCCTTTACCGGAAGAGATTGGCGAATGTAAAGAGCTCGAGGTATTCAGAGCATCAAATAACATGATTGGAGGGACAATCCCGGTCTCGATGGGCGGGCTCGAATCACTGCAGAGATTGAATTTGGGCAACAACAGTCTTTCCGGGCCGATCCCAGTCGAGTTGGGCCGTTTGTCGAAGTTAAAGTACTTGAACCTGCACGGAAATGGTTTGAGTGGCAAAGTTCCTTTGGAACTCAACAATCTTTATCAGCTGGAGATTTTGGACTTCTCAAGCAACAAACTTTCTGGGCCCATAAGCCTTTCCAACTCCAATCTCAAGAATCTCAAAATTTTGTCTTTATCGGATAACTTTTTCGCAGGTGGGCTCCCGGAGAATCTTTGCATCAAGAATTCAAACCTGACCCAGCTTTTTCTGGGCGGGAACAATTTGTCTGGCGAATTTCCGGTCGAGATATTGAATTGCTCGTCACTCGAGCAATTAGACCTCTCGGGAAATAAAATCGGCGGGACTCTGCCGGCAGACATCGACAAGCTCGAGAGATTAACCGATCTTATGCTCAATAACAACAGCTTCACGGGACAAATACCTCCCGAAATTGGAAATTTGAGCAGTTTGAGAGGTTTATACCTCTTTGACAACATGATCACAGGCCCAATTCCAGCTGAAATCGGGAAGCTAAAGCAGCTGGTCATTGCGTACTTTAACGACAACCAAATGTCGGGAAGTATACCTAGTGAACTAACAAACTGCTCGAGCCTGCAAGAAATCGATCTCTCTGGAAATCGATTTTCGGGGTTCATTCCTAAGGATATCGGGAGGCTCAGGAATCTTGATTTCATTGATCTGAGGCAAAACGAGCTAGAAGGTCCGATTCCAGCAAGCATAGGCAAATGCAGGCAGCTTCAAATGCTAGGTTTATCTGATAACAAGCTATCGGGCTCGATACCACCAACAATTGGATTTCTTTCAAGACTTTCTCTTTTATCTCTTTACAACAACTCTTTATCAGGTACAATCCCAGAATCTTTCTTCCATCTCAAAAACCTTAGCATTGTTAACTTATCTCTCAACCGTCTTAGCGGAGGCATTTTACCCTTGACTGGCTCAAATTCTCTAACCCTTTTAGATTTAACCAACAATAGTTTTTCGAACATCATCCCATCTCAACTGGCCTTGTCTCAAAACCTGACGCGCATACGCCTCGCCCATAATGCCTTCATGGGAAGCATACCTCCGGAGTTTAGCACCCTTACTGAGCTTCAGTTTCTTGATTTGTCGTACAACAGCTTAACAGGCGAGCTGCCAACCGAGCTTTCGGGCCTGACAAACCTCCGGCACCTCCTGCTCAGCAACAACCGATTGTACGGGAAAATCCCCACGTGGTTAGGGAAAATACAGCAACTAGGTGAGCTAGACCTGTCATCGAACAGCTTCAGTGAGGGTATACCGGCAGAGATCGGAAACTGTTCGAGCCTGCTCACACTATCCCTTCACAGCAACAGGTTATCCGGTCCAATCCCGCCGGATATCGGAAGCCTCGGCCTCCTAAACGTCTTGAACCTCCACAAAAACAACCTATCAGGCACAATCCCTAACACAATCCGCCTCTGCAAAAAGCTATTCCAGCTTAGCCTCTCGGAGAACAGCTTAACCGGCCTAATCCCGCCGGAAATCGGAACGCTGATCGATCTACAACTCACTCTCGACCTGAGCTACAACAAATTATCCGGCGAGATCCCGGCATCCATCGGAAACCTCGTGAAGCTCGAGGGACTCAACCTCTCGCACAATCAACTGAATGGGGAAATTCCGGGCTCCCTCCGAAGCCTATCCAGCCTCCATAAGATCGACCTCTCCGAAAACCGCCTCGACGGCCAGATTCCGCCGGAATTCTCGAAATTCGCGGCGAGTGCGTTTCAGGGCAACGGCGATTTGTGCGGGCCGCCGCTGGCTCAGTGCGGAAAATCAAGTGGGCACGCGAGGAAATACCTTTCGAGGTCGGAGGTCGCAGTTATTGTGGTAGCGATCATCTTCACGTCGACCTTGATCTGCTTGTTCCTGGTGTACCTGATGCTGAGGATATGGTGGAATTGGAGGAAGGTGGCGGTTTCTTGCTCTGGAAATGGCGCCGTGAAGAAAAACGGAGGAGATGAGGAATGGGTATATGGAGAAGGGATTGTGAAGAGCAGTGGCGATTACACGGACTCGTCGGAGCACGACCGGAGTTTTGCTTTCAACACGCTCCAAAATACCGGTCGTGAACAACTCTGATATTTCTCTTTTTTTTCTAAAAAAAAAAAGTTCTTTTATTAAGATATTTTAATTTTATTATATTTCTTTTTGTAAGTTTTAATAGTCAATTTTGATTTTTTTTCACTAATAATGTGTCCTTTGGTCCATTTTTGTTTGTGAAATAAAATATGTATGCATGAAAAAAAAAATGGATTTTTTAGAAAATTATACCTTTTTTGTCTTTAGATCTCATTTTATGTGTACATTTACATAGTTTTTTTTTTATTATTATTATAAATATACTAGCTTTCACCGTTTATGAAGAATTAATTTGTAATTTATTTTATTATTAATTTCCAAATTGCATTATTCTTTGTTTTATGTCTAATTTATGAATAATTTTATTTTGAGTGTCATTTTTATAAATGTTTTCGAGAAATGTGTAAATAAGGGGAAATGCTACAGTCCAGTTACGGAACCATTCCGTCGGGTGTTTGTAACTGTTAAATCAACATCCTTGACAATTATATGATGATATAACAGTTATAAATCCCGACGGAATGGTTCCGTAACGAAACCGTAACATTTGCTTTAAATAAGAGATGGAGTGATTGAATCCACTCATTCAACATTCACATTCACATTCACATTAAGTAACTTGAAGTTCAAAGATTAACATGAAATATTTCCATCTACACATTCAACATTCACATTAAAACTATCTCCATTTTTATCTATACGCAGAACAGCTGACAATTTCCTAAGTTTTTGTTACACAAAACACTAAAAATGAACCCTTGTAACACATTTCAACTATAGTTTATACTCTGCAATCTTCATCTTTTTTTTTTTTTTTTCATTTACATAATTTAGGCATGATACATAAACAAAGTTCCCCCAGTTGCACAGGCAATCAAATTGCTCGTCGGGTGCCACGCAAGATTAAGTAACTTACAATTGAAGTCGTAAGAAAATTCGTTACTTCCCGCACTTTTAGCATCATGGCCTGAAAGATTAATATGTATCACCAAAAATAATTCAGGACCCAAAAAAAAAAAGAAGCTAAAAGACAGATGAGGAAAGAATAAAAGGTTAGAAAGAGCACCTGGTCGGTAAAATCCTCTAGCCAGGTTGCTCAAGGATGATCGTCGAGGTTTTGTTGTAATTTGGACTAATGACTTCCTACTATGAAAATTATACAAAAAAAAAAAAAGTTTAAATAAGAGTTTCTAAACATCAATTTTGAGTTTGAAAGTTAAAATGTGACGTACGTATCTGAATCTCTACACGCTTCTATGGTTACTCCATTGCAATTCCCATTTTCGTAAGAATATACGCGCAGATGATTGCTGATAAACATGCAAAAACAATTGTTTAGTTGTTTAGCT